AAAAAAAAAGCAAATCAATTGAGAAAATGAGAAAACAAAAAAGATTTAGAAATAGAACAGGTGAAATAATGTCTGTTTTCCACTTACTGGCTTCTGAATAGTCCGATGGCTCGTTTACACCAGTGATCGAACCGTAAGTCGCAAGCTGTCCCGAACTTTGCGGGAACAATTCGCTGTCTGGATAAACATATGAACAAAAAATAACATAAAATACAATTCTGACAGTCCACCAAAATCCACTTCAGATGCAAAAAAGACATTCCGAAACAGTGAGCGGCTGCCATCTTTGAGTATGTAAGTCCACTGAGGTTCGAAATCCCTGATTATTTGCTTCCCCCTTACTCACTGACTTTTCCACATGCTCATTCCATATCCGATCTTTGATCGGTGGATAAATAAGAACCTGCGCCCACTGGAAATGCCAATGGTGGTTTCGGGAAATGATCAAACTAAAACAGCCAGCTTTCAGAAATTAAAAAAAACATGTCGACCTGATTAATTCATTAGAAATCTCTGCAGAACTCTTCAAAAATTCAAGCAATTGTTAATCGGCCAGTTAAAGATATGAAGCGAAAGAAATTTACTGCCCAAGCTATACGAGAATTACCTGTACACTGTGAGGATGGAAGGTCCGCCAGCGCCACATCGATACCACTCAACACTTCATCATCGATACGCACCAACCGCTCATCCCCTGCTTCAGCTTCTGTAAAACAATCGATGGAACGAATAAGTAAAGAACTCCCGGTCGTTCAAAAAACCAAAGCAAAGTGTTTTTGCAGAGATCTTAAAAAAAATTTTCACACGAAAAATAACAGAAAATTTCTGAAACTGTTTCGCTCGAAAATTTCAAGTTATGCCACTCGCCAACTTAGTGTATTACAATTTCCAAAGCAAGTTTACCGATCTATTCGCACTGAGAACGGGCTATCACAGAGGAAGTGCGTTCCTAAAAGTATAAATATAAATAATCTTGAGCTCTTCCTAATCTGCGCACCTCCTTGATAGCCCTCATCAAATGGTGCTGCACGCATTGATTCCACAGCTTCTTCTTCCTCAGAAACAGAAGAGGGCACTTTTTCTGCTGACATTTGCTGCGTGTCTGTTGATTTCGATGTTGTGCTACTGTCGTCTTCAATAATAAGCCTCTGTAAGAATAACAACAAATAGCAACGCGCACCAGACCAGCCGGTGCGATTATGCGTTTTGCGCAATCTCGCCCACCGAACGATTGCCTATTAATGATTTTCACTGCTTTGTACTTCAGTCTGTGCAAAGATAGATGAAAAGTTGAAAAATAATTAAAAATTTCACGCACCAGCGCATGAAAGCTAAATTTGAAACCTTAAAGAGTCAATATCCTTTCGTGATTCCCGAGATAATAATTTACCTGTCAAAAATTTTCATTGGCCCGTATGTGATATCCGATAGCGCAGGGACGCTGAATTTGCAGGATCGTTTGTGGGCAGGGGGTCAAAACCCTAAAATTTCAGCTTCCTAGACTCCGTGGTTCCCGAGATAATAATTTACCCGTCAAAAATTTT